CATAGAGGTCGCGACCGGGCTTTGGGCGATCAGGTTTATTGACATAAACACTGTAAATCGAGGATTCCGCGTCATACTTGTGTCGATTCCGACAAACGCATCCGCTTCGCTCGATGAAATTGATTTGAAATTGGAGGGACTTGATTAGAATAGCCATTTAAGTTCGAGGGCTTGAATTCATGGACCAAAAGTGGAATTCAATGATTTGACCTAGCCAGTATTGAGCCAAAACTGACGTGTTTCTAAATTTTTCTATCTTACAATATGGTCCAAACATCACTAAACATTCAAAGTCAGAGAAGAGGAGGGGATGAAACTTGGAATGGAAAAATCAAATTCAGACTTCTAGGCTGACCGTTGATTACATGAAAGGGCAGGGTCTCTAAACAAGTCCCTCATTTCAATGGTTTTTAGATTTTCGCCCCAATTTTGCAGAATCAAAAGGCAAGTGTAACACGACGCCACAAGCAATTTGGTTTATGGACGAAAACAACAAAGATGGAGGCAGGGGTCGAATTGAAAACTCTCGAAAAATGGTGGGCCAGAGAGAAAGGCCTCGAGAAGATGGATATTTAGCCCTAAGTCCCACATTCCAAAACAAAAATGGCTGCCTATAACACAACATCCCTCGGGTCACTTCTCAACTCAGTTCCGCAGATTATGACGGGATCTAATTTTTGGCTCCAGCACATCTTCTAGTCCTCTTATTCTCGTTTTTAGTGCAATTTGACCCTCCAACTTTCGATTTCGCTCGATTGAGCCTTCTAAATTTCACAATTTATGTCATCGAATCCTTCTGTCTAACACGGATAGCGTGTCAACACGATGATTTATTGTTAAAACACAAAACTTTGGATCAATCGAAGTTTTGGCCCTCTGAACTGAGCTCCCCTCAGTTATGCAGCATCTTTCGACTTTTAAAATGACTTAGGTTCAAGTCCATAATTAATGAGATTATGTCTTGCCGTCCTAATTTAGATTGCTCTAACCCCTTATTTCAGCTAAGGGTGTAAAAAATACCCGAATCGAACCGAACTAAATCGAAAATTTCAGTTCGGGTAGTTAGTAAAAAGTTTGGGTATCTTGACGATTCGGTTCAGTTCATGTCATGTATCCAAACCGACCCGAAACAATCATCTCTTAATCCCTAAAGAATGGAAGTGAAGGCAAGTGGGTATTGTGACTCCCTGCCCAAACAAATCTCGGTCTTCACCGTCTCTCTCACACACACGCATTTCTTCTTCACGAACCCCTGTTATCTGCCTAGGGTCTTCAGCTCTTGAATCTCGCTTGCTTCTCTCCTCTGCTTCAAGCAATGCGACTCTTCGTCGCCGATCCCCTTCGGTGTAGTCTCAGTCGGATCTCCATGCCGGCAGTGTGCTCGAGTGCACGTATTCTCTGATTAGAAACTCGTCACGAATTCATGGTACAACTCTCGCAAGTTTGATTTCGCCTTCCTAACATATTCGTTTCCGCCTTTTGTTTGTTTTCGTTCCAGCATGTTGTCGTTGAGCTGATCCCGCTATGTGCGGTCGTGTTAACCCACCCCCCTAAAAAAAAAAAAAAATGAAAACCGAATCGAATAGAACCGTGATTTCGGTTCGGGACGAAGCGAACACATACCCGAACGTTTTGGTTCAAGTATAACGAAATTTTAAACCGAACGGTTGACGGTCCTAATTTCAGTGACGATATTAACGTCAAGTCCCTTTTGCGGGAAAACGAGCATGTATAATCTCACATTGCAGCAGGTCGTGGCTTACAACGTATCGATCTAATTCTCATTCTTTAACATTTTCATGAGTTACGAAAATAAAAGTACACAAGAAGTGCCATAACTTGTGTACGGCGATCACTTTGGTGCCATAACTTTTTTTCGGATCACTTTGGTGTCAAGTCGAAGGAAAATATATCACTTTAGTGCTAATTTGACCGGAAATCCGACGTGGCATTTTTTATTAATTTTTGACGCCGACGTGGCTCGCGGGAGGCTGAGTCAGCGTGTACAGTCAGCATTTTTTATTTTAAATAATTTTTTCCAGCGTGCACAGTCAGCATTTTTAATTTTCAATATTTTTTTTCCTCTTCTTTCCTTTTTCTTTTCTTTTCTTTTTTTTCTTTTCTCCCCTCGCCGGCCGGCCACCGGCGAAGCCCGGGAAGGGCTGGGCGAGGGCGGCCTTGCCCATGGCCGGCGAGGGGCGGCCTCGCCAGATCTGGGCGAGGCGACCCTCGCCGGCGACAGGCGAGGCTGGCCCTCGCCGGCCCAGGCAAGGCCGCCCTCGCCGGAGTCAGGCGAGGGCGACCCTCGCCGGCGTCGGGCGAGGGTCGCCCTCGCCTGAGTCGGGAGTGGGCGACCCTCGCCCGACGCCGGCGAGACATTATTGTCTCGTGATAAAGCCATATGGTCCAGATCAGGCGAGGGCGACCCTCGCCCGACGCCGGCGACCCTCGCCCGACGCCGGCGAGACATTATTGTCTCGTGATAAAGCCATATGGTCCAGATCCCATCCATTGTCCACTCAACAAAGTGGATCCACAACCCACCCATACATATTTCGTTTCCTTTTCGTATAATTGACTTCGCCCCCCGAATCAACGGCTGCCATTTGCGATGCTGGAAATGGACACCCGAAAACGCCTGCCGTGTTCATCAGGGTCACCGCCGTCCACGTGGCAATAGCGCCACGGCAGCCCCGGTCAAATCGAACCTAAACACAAAAAAAAAAACCCAAAAAAAACATGCGGAAAAGTCAACCTCGTCAATCTGACGTAACGTTCGTCTCACAAAAACATCGCTACGAAAAAGAGAAAAGAATTCAACAGCAATTTCCTTTTATGGAACATACCTAATGTTGAATCGGTACACACCTAATCGCAGAGCGTGCCGGTGAAACACGGTCGTCCCTCGTGCAATATTATGGGAAGAATGGTCCGAGGAACTTATCGAAATGCCGTGAGCTTAAATTAATCGGCACTCGGTGAGATCGCGCGATTTGTGCAACTAAGGAGTTCCGACTTAATTGATCGGGTCCGGGCAGAACAAGGGGGCAAAAGCTAGTTACTTACCTCATTCAATTGAATATCTAGCCAATAATAATAATAAAAAATTTATTCGAATGATTTAAAATCGCATTTAGAACGTTGTCAATTGTCTCGTTACGATTTACCAATTATACCCACCGCCCCGCTCCACGCTAGGAGGAGAGATAATAATATCAATACTGCACTTTCGATCATTATAAAAATCATTATTTTTAGCGCTTCGACTTCTCATCGAAATCAATTTTCAGGGGCTTGCATTTTCTCGTCCAAGATCATTGCTGGTCGTGCGTGGGAACAAAAGGCACGAAGTAGGGCGTGGCAAAACAGGCACGGGCGACGGCGTGAACCGAGCGGCGAGCCGAGTCGTTCGCGAGTCCCGCACTCGCGACTCATGCGCCGGGGGATTGACTCGGTTCGTGGCGCGACGTATCCGCCGATGCAATCACGCAACAACTGAAGAGGACTCGGCACTCGGTTGGGGAGGTGGGGGAGAAGGGACTTGGGGAAAAGCCAAGTTTGACTCGGTCCAGTCCACTCAGTGAGTGGCACTGGAACCGCCTCCCCCAGCCATTGACGATGAAGGTGAGTGCCGTTTGACGCAGCTTCCTCCGTCGCTTGTTCTTGCGCTATTCCTCCCCCGCGATTGGCTCTCCCCCCACCACCACATAATCAACGGCCGCATTTTCACGTCGGTCGCAAATTACGTCGATACCCTCCCCGCCTCGCGCGTCGAGGTCGCTACGGGACTCCGTCAATGTAAAAGGGCCTCGTTCGCACTACAGCTACTACCGTCCTGTATTGATTAGATCCGTCGAAATGGGTTATAAACCCAATTTCTTAATCCATATTTGATATGATGAAAGTGTTTTGACGATATGGATCGGGTTATGTCTGAGTTTGGTATGTGTTCAAGTCGGGTACGAGTCACTAATTTGTATTGCGTGAAAATTGATCAAAATTGGTTAAATGAGACAATTTGGGTCGGATCATTTTCAACTCGATTCAAATTTGACTCGACACGCCCGTTTGACAAGTCTAGCATCGATGATAATGGGGTTGTGGCCTTGTAAGATTTAATCGTGAAAATGGTTTTTTCTTTCTTTTATAAATTCCAATAAATACTCTTTTTTCAAAACGATTTCCAATTTGCCCAATGTGAAAATGGATTTTTTTTATAAAAAAGTTCCAATAATAACTTCATCAAATTTAATAAGGTAGGGAATGGTTATGTTGTTTTTTTGTCATTTGCGCACTACTCCTTGTAGTGATGACTACGCAACCAATCCTATAAACTCTATTGTACGCATAACGATTCGGTCATAAATTTTTTCAATTTTATCAATGTAGCGCTAAATTTCAGCGCCAAAATCCCAATTACTGCTGATTTAGTATTCCTACGATTAATTTAGGAATGAGTTGGTAATTTACCCGCTCTGCGTTGTAATACGACGGGCCTCTAGAATGTATAAACGACGCGGGGGATGGGCAGTTTGGTCAAATCGACAGGGAGGAGCTACGGGGGCCCCACCCCGTGATCATCGTTCATCGTTCGGGGGCCGGCGACAGAGACGTGCGTGTCTTTTGGCGATCGTAAGTATCGAATCGCCGGACCGGGTCGGAGCTGACCCGGCCCCGTTTTCACACGAAACCCCCCCGATGAAAAGGGTCTCCTTGTTTTCACGTCTTTGACTTCTTCCCCCTCCTTTATTTATTTATTTATTTATTTATCAATATATTTCGAGGATATCTATGTGCGTATTCAAAATTTTTTTTTTCATTTATTTAGAAACTTTTGTGGGATTATAAATTGGGAGAGATTTTAAAACCCCATCTCCCCCAATATTATTCTCCACCTTCTCCTCCATTAAACCTCCCCTCCCCCCCCCTTTCCGATTTCACCGCTCTCTCTGTTTCTCTCTGTGTTTCTCTCTCTCTCCATGCGCGTATCTCCATCGTAAGGGAACAAGCCCTCGCCACCCGCCCGCCTCGTTCCCCGCTCCGCCATGGAATTGACGATCAATGGTCACCGGCAGCAGCCCCACGGCGACGCCGCGGCGGCGGCCATTGACGGTCAATCCCCCGTCCCCGGCCCCGACCCCGCCGGCGGGAAGCCGCCCCCTCCTCAGCCCGACGGATTCCTCGAGGTGGATTTGTCCCCCCGCCCGGACCAGGAACCGCCGAGCGCGAATCCCGGCGATCGGGCGATCGGGGAAGAAGGCCCCGTCCCCGAAATCGACGCCAGCGCCAGAGGAGCGGCTCAGGCGCACGAGGAGCCGGGGGAGGAGCAGGGCGCGGAGGCCGAGGATCGCGAGCACGCGGTTGGTGACGGGACGAGGGTCGACGGCGGCGGCGGCGGCTCTGACGTGATCAGTGTGGTCCAGCCTCATTCGCAGCTCCCGAAGCCGGAGGCGCCGCCGATGTCGTGCTCTCCGCCGCGGGACGTCGGCGCGGCCGCCGCCGCCATATCGGGCCGATCCCAGTCCATGCCGGGCCGCCTCGCGGCGGTCGACATGCCGGCCATCGGCAAGTTCATCCGGGACCGGAGCAACAGCTTCTCCGCCGCGATCGTGAAGCGGCTGTCGTCTCTCAAGGAAATAGGGAGCGACGACGACGACGGCGGGAGGGGCGGTTCCGATTTCAAGCCGGACGGGGTGACGGAGATCAACCTCTCGGGGCTGAAGGTGGTGGTGAGGCTGAAGACGGAGGAGCAGCCGGAGAAGGAGCTGCGAGGCAGGATCAGCTTCTTCTCGCGGTCCAACTGCCGGGACTGCACCGCGGTGCGATGCTTCCTCCGGGAGCGAGGGCTCAAGTTCGTGGAGATCAACGTGGACGTGTACCCGCAGCGGGAGAAGGAGCTGATCGAGCGGACGGGGAGCTCCCAGGTGCCGCAGATCTTCTTCAACGAGAAGCTCTTCGGCGGGCTGGTGGCGCTGAACTCGCTGAGGAACAGCGGGGGGTTCGACCGGCGGCTGAAGGAGATGCTCGGCGGGAAGTGCTCCGGGGAGGCGCCGGCGCCGCCGGTGTACGGGTTCGACGACCCGGAGGAGGAGGAGCGGGCGGACGAGGCGGTGGGGATCGTGAGGGTGGTGAGGCAGAGGCTGCCGATCCAGGACCGGCTGACGAAGATGAAGATCGTGAAGAACTGCTTCGCCGGGGCGGAGATGGTGGAGGTGCTCATCCACCACCTCGACTGCGGCCGGAAAAAGGTAACCACGCTCCCCTGTCCTTCCTCCCTTGCTTTCGACTGTTACTGCGATGCGCGCGCGTGCGCACGTGCGCCGAGTTTTTGTTGAGTCACGCGAGGGTCGTGCGAGTAGAGATTTTTTAACCGAACTCCTCGAGATCACCCGGTCAAAGCTTACATGTTAAGTACAGATTTAGTTGCTTAATTAAGAAGGATTATGGTTTGGAAGATTTTTTTCCCTTTTGCTCGCATTTTGAATCCCGCTCTTAAGCCGCCAGCAACGGACGGTCAACAACGGTATGTCTCGAGGATCAAGGTGCGAAGTCAAACGGTGGTGATGATGCCAAATGACCATCTCGCCCCCCCCCCGCCCCCCCTTCGTCAGCTTCATGATGACTCGCAAGGGCGGGGTCGAGGGAAAAGAGGGGAGCTGCCTGCACCTGCGAACGCGGTGTAATAATTAACTTCCGTCGTTTTCCCCACGAAAAAAATATCACTCCAGCGGGGCATTTTGGTAATTTTGCTTGGGACTTTGGGGTTGTGTCCCCAGACCGCGCCTTTTTTTCGCCATGTCCGAATTCGGGAATTCACTCGCGTCAATGTCGAGGGGCCACAGTTGAAATGGAAAGTGGAATGATTAGATTCGCAATTTAGGAGTGAATTGCGCGTTTTGATTTTCTTTCCCTTTTTATGGTGGGATGGTGTTTTTCTTTTTCGCTTTTTTTTATGGTGGGATGATGTTGACGACCGATTTGTGGGCACTTTACAGTTTTCAATCCGCTCATTACCTCGTGTTGTGGATAATCGGCACCTTGAAAATAGAGTTGTTCCTTTTGGAATATACTCAGATGAAGTGTCTCTAGCATTCGCGAGAGCCGCCGAATATGCGGTTGCTTGCGGGGGAAGTGCATAGAAGGTCTTGTCCACTTTGATGGGTACCCCCAAAAAGTGGGGAGACAATGGGATAGGGCGTAGGGAGTTTGCATTATTGGAGTTTGGTTGCGCGACCGCAGCGTTGCTCACCAAACTCAAGCTACTCAGTACGATACTATGATCAAAGCACCGTGTAGAAGGGGACAGATGGAGGGTTCATCGATCTACATTCGAACGCCCGCTGTCCCCCTTTTCGTCGTGCTAATCGATTTCGGACCGATTGACTTCATCCCCGATATTTTTTGAAGCCTTCTTCAAGACGCATTTAATTATTCTTTGTTTTGTCTGGTAACGGAAAAAAGAAAAAGCTTTTGAACGACCGGAAAAAAGCGAAAAAGAAGAAAGGGTTTTTGTCAGAGGATTTCTGTCGTCATTGTGTCAGCCTTTTGGAGGAGGCTGGCCCCGTGAGCTGAAATCATTTGCTTTAATCGAGGAGGGGAAGTTCAAAAAAATGATGAAGAGAGGAGCCCCGACCACGTGACGAGGAATGATACCTTAGGAGGTCGAAAAGTTGGAAGCGTTCAAAACAGTTGTTTCGGTCGGGGGTCCATGTCGTAACTTTCCCCAGTTCCACAGTCCCCAAAGCCTTGGCTCCACTGGCCAAAAGCAACCGTTTGACCCTGAACTTTTTTTTTTATTTTATATCGAAGACCCTGAACTGTTCATGCTTTCTTTTGGGGGGCCTAATAGTGTCCGACGGCTTCGGTGTCTTCCATTCTTCAACGTCTCTATTAATACCCGTTGGGGGAATCTGTCCAGAATAAAAAAATTTCACAGTTAATATGGTAAACTAAGCTTAATTAGCTTTTTCCACAGGTTGCGTAAGGTAATGTGCCGTTTATAGTGGACTAGAACCAAGGCGGATCTTCAGTAACTTCCCGAAGTATTTAGTAGATACTACTCAACTGCTGATAACTTGCCTTTTGTTATTCTAATTGTTGTTCACTCATGTGAGTTCACTCCATCTAGCTGTCACATATTCGCACGTGAGATAAAAGGAAGGTCTTCAAAACCTTTTTTTTTTTTTTTATCTCGCGTGTGTCTATTGAGTTCAGTGAAATTGCTGCAGCTGTTGCCGGTTTTAAGAAAATGTCGGATATGTCATACGTGGGTCGCAATATGGACGTGGTAGATCAGCTTTTATGCTTGGAAATTATTGACATTCTGCTTCTTGTTTATAATGTGTGACTCAAAGCACATCTTAAATGTTGTTTCCTTTCAACCTGATTTTAGCTAACGTTCCACCTGTTATTGTCAAGCTGTCAGAAACAATGTAAACAAATACAAATAGAAAGCGATTATACAAGTAAGGCGCAAAAGAAGTCTAGAATATCTTTTTGTGTCTAGACCTTCATGCAGTTATGCTCTACTTTGCTACTAAGGAAATGCATATATATTCTATAGCATTGTAACGTTTTTGGCTGAAGACAAGTATGTTCGTTTCTGATCTATCAAAACTCCCCCAAAACTGTCCTTAATTCGTTCGTTGTGTCTGAGTTTCTCCTCCGTTGCACATTGTAGGCTGTTGAGATTGGAAAGCAGTTAGCCAAGAAACACTTCTTCCATCATGTCTTTGGGTAAGTGGATTGTGCAGACACAGCTAGGTCAATGATCTTATCGATCTTCCTTAAACTCAATAGTTTCTTTGGTATTTCTGCTACTGCAGGGAGAATGATTTTGAAGACGGAAACCACTTCTATCGTTTCATTGAGCACGAACCATATATTCCCAGATGCTTCAATTTCCGAGGATCTACAAATGACAGTGAACCAAAGCGAGCAGCTGAAGTTGGCTTGAGGATGACCAAGATAATGTCTGCCATACTTGAGTCTTATGCCTCTGAAGATAGGCGCCATCTTGATTATGGAGCCATCAGCAAAAGTGAAGAATTCAGAAGGTAAAGCGACTCCGTGACATTCATTTACCTTGATATAATACATAATGCAATCATTAGCTGAGATCATCGAAAGATTACAGTATATCTAACTTTCCCTATTGATGCTGACTAAAAGGGGTTTAGTTGCCAGAGGTCAAAGTACCAGACAGTTAGCATTTCCTCGATAAGGAAAGTAAGCCATCTTTTGTGCAAAAAAAAACGATGATTTTAGAGATGCGTAAAGGAATTAAACCCAGAAGGCTGCTATTGAGCCGGTGATGAAAAATTATTTTGTATATTGACAGCAACTTATATTTCAACTGAAGCACTGCAGTCAAGTTCTTCATGCCTTTGGCTTCCATCTGTTATGTTCCCTTAAGGCAATGAGTTAACAAGTTTTAAGCATGGATGATGTTTACAGTTCCTCTTTGAGACGTGTTAAAATAAATATTTGATCTTATTTGTCTGGGGTTAGTATGTTCTCCCAGCCAGTGCTACCTTGTCTGACATCAGGATTTGCGTCTGCTCATGAATTTGCTCTATATGTTTTTAAGATGTGCAAAAGTACAATTCTATCCAAGAAATGCATATAGGATCATTATTTTGTCTTTGCAAATACGGATAAAGTTTAGGTGGTAAACGGTAAGAAACTCTTGTATAGAGTTTACTTATAATGGGAAAAGCCATCAACACGGGAAATTTACTCGACAGATCTGTGCTGTTCTTTCTTTTTCTCTTACTTTATTAACTCGTTAGTGCTCTTGTACTTATTTCATAACAGCTTTCATAGATTTCTCCTCATTAAGCTATATGCAGAAGTAGTCCATCCATTATTAACCTTCTTACAAAAGCCCAATAGACTGCTGCTAATGGGCATTTTATTAATTGTTGTTTTCCCTCCTCATTTCCTAATTCTGATGGTATGCAGATACGTAAATTTGTCTCAAAAACTTCACCGGGTGGACCTACTGGAACTCTCACCTGATGAAAGCCTGGCATTCTTCTTGAACTTGCATAATGCCATGGTCATTCATGCTGTGATAAGGGTCGGCCTCCCAGAAGGAATCATGGATAGGAGATCTTTCGACTCTGACTTCCAGTACGTGGTTGGCGGGTATCCATTCTCCCTTAGCACAATAAGAAATGGAATACTAAGGAACAATCGGAGACCTCCGTACTCGTTGGCCAAGCCCTTTGGCACTGGAGACAGGCGCTTAGAGGTAGTTGGCACATTCACATAAGCAAGTTAATATCCCATATCGTGTCGGAATTAACTGTCTGCTTATATGATAGCAGTTGTACTTGCAGATCTTGATTTGGTGTCGCAAGAAAAATCTTCTAACAGTTAGTTCATATGCTTGCAGCTTGCTGTTCTTAAAGTAAACCCCCTTATACATTTTGGTCTATGTGACGGCACGAGGTCGAGCCCAACCGTGAGATTCTTCTCTCCTCAAGGAGTCCAATCTGAACTCAGATGCGCTGCCAGGGAGTTCTTCCAGAGCGGCGGGGTTGATGTGGACCTGGACAAGAGGACACTTAAACTCACTCGAATCATGAAGTGGTACGCGACCTCTATTTAGCCTTTCGTCCCGTCTGCATTTACTTCAAAATGGCATCTCAAACGTGACACGGTTCCGTGTGTTTGTTTCAGGTTCAGTGCTGATTTTGGACAGGACAGGGAAATCCCACGGTGGATCCTCAGCTACTTGGACGCGACCAAGGCAGGTCTCTTGACGCATCTCCTAAGCGACGGGGGTCCCATTCACCTCGCCTACCAAAACTATGACTGGTCTGTAAATTCCTGATGCAACAACCGGCACCATTCTCGTGGGTAGAAAAATGGAAGAACACTAAACTTATAAATCACATTGAGCGATGAGGAAAGTCGAGGTGATGCCAATTATATACTGTACATAGCTGAATATTGCGAGTCCATCCCAAGCCATTAAAATGGAAATTCGAGGATACGATAGAGGTATATGCTTGTTTGTCCCGACGTGCGCGCCGAAGACGACAAGTTATCAAGTTTTCTTATTCTTTTTTCCCGGCATCTGGGCTTTGTTTGCATTCAGTTAAGTGATTTTACATATTACTGTAACGTTTAGACTTGCCAAGAACAAAGTCTAAACTGTTTGAATGAACTGTGCTTTCAAAGTTGACAATTTGCACTTTGAAATGAGTGGATCGCGCTGGCAGTATGGCTGGCAAACCGCTTCTGAGTATGTAACTCGAATGCTTTGGAAAATAAAGGGTTAATACCCTTAAAAAAAAAAAAAACCCAAATTGGTATTTGACAACACGCCGCATTTTCTTTGTTGTCTCGCAAAAATACTCGAATTGATAACCCATAATACATCTATGACAAACTAACTCTCATCTCAGAACATAAACCACAAAACCGACAATTCGATGACAAATCTATCTATGTCAAAATGATTTTCGTCTCATAAAAAATCTCGAATTGTTACTCTAACCTAAATCCAACCTCCACTAAAATTCCATGTGTTAATATATGGTCGGTCGATTATCCTCCGTGTCAGATTTGTCTTGCATTCGTCCGCCACTTGTGTTGATGCGTATACATTTTAACGAGACATTGTATGGAATGGTCGATAATTTGGGTTTTTCCATGCAATGAAAATTAAATCGAGTGAAATATAACACGGAGTACCACTTCGAAATTTATTTCGCGAGATGAAATCGGTTCGGGATAAACGCGTGTGATGGATACCAATTTGAGATTTTTAATCGTATTAATCAATAAAAAAAAAAATCGGATCCGGGCCGAATGATCCGGCCCAAAACACTCCCTCCAACCAGATCCATTCCCGCCAAAACGACGAGCCCGATGGCGGGAAAATTAGCTCTTATAGGGGGCAACTCCGAATATTTCAATAGAAATCCCCCAAAAAAACTGCGACTAAATCAGAGAGAGAGAGACGGCCAGATCGGAGATCCCCATCGGAAAAAATGGAGACCGCCGGAAAATCGGCGCCGACGGGATGCTTCAAGTGTGGCCTCCCGGGCCACTGGTCCCGCGACTGCCCGGCCGATCCCATCCAGAACTCGGTCCCCAACCCTAGATCCGCCCTTCCTCCTCCTTCGTCGTCGATTCCCAATCCCGCCGGTGGTGCCGCAGCAGCTGCTAGGGCCACCGGCTTCGACGACAAGCCGGCGGCGAAGCCGAAGAAGGTCCCCGCGAAGCGACCCAAGCTCACGCCGGAGCTCCTCCTCTCCGACGACGGCCTCGGTTACGTCCTCCGCCACTTCCCTCGCAACTTCAAGTATCGCGGCCGCGGCCACGAGGTTCTCTTTCTCTTCTGGTCATGATGTTGTCCTCGAAAGCTAACGCTCCGTCGATTACTTCGATATCTTGTCGAGTTTCTGTGAGGAAGGGCGTGGCAAGATTTTTCATTGCATCGACTGCTGATCCATTGTACCAAGCGCTTTATCTGTCATCTTCTACGTCGCACTTTCCATTGTTCTGATGCCCGCTTTGAGATATAGGAGAAGAAAGGAGAAAGTAAGATAATTCAAACTGCATTACCTTCTCTGGTTCGCTTCAGAGATGGGGTTTGACCAAAGTTGCTGTCAATGAACTTGCAAACTTGCATCCTGCAATTCGCTCATCATGTGTATGTGGCATCCCTCGCAATCATTCACGTTCTAAAGTTTGCTAGCTAGCTGTGTAACCTCGAAGTGCTGAGGGTGGCACTGCTGAGTGATTTGGGCCTCCTAAGATTTAACATTCCTTTTACTGTAGCGAACATTATAAAACATTCCCCAATTTTTAACTCGTGGAAATATATAGTCCTACCACAGAAGTTTCAATCACCCACTCACTAATTGCATTACATATTTGCAAGTAAGTTATGTGTTGTTTCAGTTGGAGATATCGCATATGACTGCAGTGATGGCTGCAAAACCTCATGAATTTTTATTATGTATTTGTCTGTAATGCTCTCCATAATTGACTTTCGATACTTTCAATAATTTTGTTAGACAGGGTTGATCATTAATTTGTAATTCTAATAACCAGAAAGAGTTGACCTTTGCTAGAGCAACATAAGAATTGAATGAGAAGTGAAAAATCCACATTCAATTTTCATCAAAATGACTAACTGCAAGCTTATGTTCCAGAGATTAGCATTGTAATTCTTGTATCCTGTTTTGTTCATATGGGAAGTAGGATTTTTGCGAGCAGAGAGCAGGGTAAAATATTCTTTAGTCAGTTTCCCCAAGCTCAATTTTCTGGTTATCAACTAAGTAGTGCAGAAGTATTTCATACAAAAGTTAGAAATAAGATCTTTGTGAATCCACATTCCTGTCGTTTTCTGTTATTTTATAATCTTCAGTTCTTTGATTAGATGATGATATTATGAGCTGTTTCCGTCTTTCTACTAAATATATTTTTGACTTTGCAAAATTATCATGATGTTCTTTTTCAAGATTTGCAGGTTAGCGATCTGGGAAACTTAATCGGCATGTACCGGGAATGGCACTCTCATTTGATTCCCTATTACTCATTTGATCAGTTTGTTCATAAGGTAGAACAAGTGGCTGCCACAAATCAAGTAAAGGTAATTGATACGAAAGAACTACAAATTTGAGAAGAGATGAGAACTGATTCTTGTACTTAATCTGAACATTACAGGGTTATGTAACTTAGTTTATTAACTATTATCTGACTGAGTCTGCTACTAATCGAAATATATCTCTTTATGGCGAATCTGGACTATCTACTTGTCAGCATCCTATGATAAGCTGTTCTTGGTCATTTCAGTCTGATAAATTAAGCCATAATAAACCTGTTAAGCTTACTTTACTAGAACTTTTTCTCTAATATGCTATTCTTGGTTACTTCTGTCTTATATTAATGGAAAGGCCCTGATAGATCAAGCTGTAATAAACTGTTAAGCGTACAAGAACCCTTTCCAAAGTAAGAAGATGTTGTCTGCCTTTGAGTACTTTTAATTGATCTCAGAAATCACACAACTCTGTGGAAATATAAATTGCGGTCTGATTGCTTGATTTTGAGTGATCTACTTACATGGTTGCCTAGAAAGCTAGTTGATTTTCTTCTGTGAACTGCCATGATTGTCTGTCTGGTATGTCCATAAATATAACTGGCCAATGTGGGTTATCGAATTTCTTTTTGGAGTAGAACTACCTGTTTAATTAAAGTTATGGCTTGTAATTCATAATGAATAGCCCGCTTTCTTCACATTTTTCGATTGTCTTTATCATCTGTTTTTGGCTGTGTTAAGATCAAATACTGTAGGTTAAAAAGTACAATTCAGGGCTTAAGTTACATCGATATTGATGGGTTAAGCTTCTGTCTTTCCTCTTCCTTCTTTCCCCAAGCACACTTCTTTCTCTAATTGTCTCAAATATACATACTGTATAATGCTTCTTTTAGCTTAATTCCATCTCATTTTTACGGTTTTCACTGTATAGCTTGTCTAGGTTTAACATGTGGGGTTTGTATATGATGAAGGAATGTGAGCACAGTCAGAGGCTGTAATGAACATAATTGATTTGAGTGTGTTTTTCTCTATGGTCCTGAAACTTTTGTTCAGGCGCTTTTGTTCTACCTTTAGTTTTATATATTCCCTTAAGTTCTGTTTTTGTTATCTAACAATATAGCAACACATATATTTTTCAAGGCAATAAATAGTATATTAGGATCTCTAATAAGAGCAAGGCTTGGTTACAGAAACAGAACTTTCAAGGGCTATGAAGACGAGTTCTATTTTGTTTGTTATGGGCATTCATACTATTTGTGACTGATCAAGAAGAAAAAAGAAAAGCAAAGAAATTTTCCATATATTGGTTGATATCCTGTATAGATGATACGCCATTGCCTACTTGATGCTTTATTTCAATTCCTTCTCTTTCTTTTTGCAAGAAATAACTGACTTATGACCTCTAATATGAAGAGATGATGACTATCACATATGCAGTTGGTCCAGTGAAGGCTGGACACCAGGCTTAAGAGTGACTATTGAACTTGTAATTTATTTAAGTGGATATCTCTGTCTCCTTTGAGCCACATCGGGATTTCAATGCTTAATATGGGTTAAATTTCTTCAAAGTGTCAATATTGTAGTAAAAGGCAAAAAATAAAAAAATCATTTTCCCATTAGTCAGTGCCATCACTTGGTAATTCCTGTCCATCTTTTGGCTAAGATCATCTATCACTTGGGAATGTACTTTGACTGATTACCTTTAGCCAATTCTTGCAGATTAACCACTATTGGTGATACTGTGTGATGAATTGTGATCATGAATCTAATGCTTCTGTTACATCAGCCTCTCTAATGTGATTTATAAAATCCGTGCATGGAAGGGACTTTAATCTTGTGGACTTTCAGATGACAGATCTAATATTCAATATGTATGGAGGTAGCTTAAGGATAAGCAAGTGATAGTGATATCTGCAAGGAAAAGTGAATGAACTGAAAAATGTGGACTGGGTACATTTTTTCGGTGGATAATCCTTTTGATAATTCTCTGTTCAATATTTTGGCAGAAATGCATCAAAGAATTAAGGGAGAGAGTTGCCAGTGGTGGGGATCCAACAAAGTTGCATGAACCACCTCCACCTGAGGAAGATGGCGTAAACAATGACCAAGGTGAGAAAGATCATTTGCCATTTCTTGTGGCCTAAAACTTCTTTTAATTTTTTGTCTTTCTAGGAGCATATGTCTTTTGCAAATAGTTGCTGCTTGCAAATTGTTCCTTGACATTTGAGATCCCATATGTACCTTTTCATCCCACCTAGCTAGATTCTTGTAATGTTGTCTACGAATTTTTGGAAGAACACTTTTGGTCTCATTAACTTCTTCTAACAGAGACTCAGTAGGTGCTGCATATGGAAATCTACGACTTCATAATGAAAGGGTTGGTCTTCATGTACTTCCAAATGTTATCCACTTAGGGCCCGTTTGGTTCGGCTTTTCAAATGCAATTTGGGGAATGCAAATACCTTTAGGTGAAAGCCACTTGGGGAAATATAAGTGGTGTTTGGTAAAAAAAATTTTGTGAAGCTACTTTGGCCTAAGTAGTGTTTGGTAAATTTTTTTCCCTCGCGGTGAAGAAGATGAACAGTAACAGGGGCTAAACCGGAATAAAGAAATTTGAGTGAGGGCAATTTGGGAAGGGAAAAATAGGCTTCAGCATTTGTGGAATGCTGAAAGCCCAGAGCTGGTCCGGACCAGCTTTGGGCTTTCAGCATCCCAAATGCTAACTTTCGGCTTTCCGTTCCCCAAATGTTGAACCAAACGGTTCAGCATTTTGGGAAGGGGCTTTCGAGCCCGAAAGCCTCTTCCCAAAGCTGAACCAAACGGGGCCTTACCAGCTTAATGGAATGCCATTCTTTCTGATGAAAGTAAATGCTTACAGAATGTATTTTAAGATTCGTTCCTTTGTGATGGAGCTCTATGCCTAGTCTGGAAATAATCTGCCGCCATTGTTGCAGCTCCAGTTTTCTGGCTGTATATTCAGGAACATCCATTTTTTTGGTTATTTTCTGGGTTTGTTTGATCTTGTTGGTCCGATCAGATAATGCTATCTTTAAAATTCTATGTACTAATATGAAGATTGGTCAGTGTTAGCTTTAGGCTGGCAGCACAGGTTCTGGTGGTGTGAAAAGCAGGTTTTTAATAGTCACTGAAGAGGATCAATTCTGTGTTGTCATTTTTTCTGGAGCTTCAATTGAGCCATCAGGATCTGTACTGAGCATTGGACTAATTCTGAAAGCTAACCTCTAACTTCCTTTCTGCAACAAGATATGTATCTGAAAGCAGCATGTTTTGGTTGCCCCTAATCCTGTACTACTGTTTCGTAGGACTTTCAACACCTTGCGAACCCATGGATACTGAGGAACCAAGACAACATGTGAGAGAATTATCAAATAACACCAATGCTGATGACTTACCACAAGACTTACTTCATGAGATCTATGAGAAAGCTACTGAAGTAAGTGTTCACTCTCTATATGTACTCATGTTTTCCCACAATTTCATGCTGTTGCAGTTAAAGGATTCAAAATGTTTTGGTGGTAGCTGTAGATTTTAGTATGTATCAAAAGTAGAGGATCCATGCCAGGTTGACTTGTTTTATATTATGTTTGTGACAGAATTTACCGAATATATTGACAAAAGCTGGTTTGTCCGGGTTATCTGGTATAATGGTCAGTCTATCACGTAGACGTCTTTTATTCCTATTCTCAAATTTGTGGAAATTTCCCCAGATATTTAAGTCTTATTGGTGCTAACAACTGTGGTTAAAAAACCAAGATTTATTTTTTCTTTTTTGCCGTGCATTTCCATCCTCTCCACTTCTTCATAATCATCTCCAACAATTGTGGAGAGTACTGCGAAGTCCTAAAGTGTACATCCACACACACACCTGTACATAAACTCAGCTGAGTTGACTGGAGTTTTAGTATATCTGGAATGAGTCCTGCCTTATCAGCTTCAAAACCGAGCACCCAGTGCCTCTCCAGGATCCCAAGGAAAAAAAAAAAAAAGAAAGAAAATTGTCTTCCACCTTAGCGACTTTCAATATCTCTTGTGTGCAAAATAACTTCTTTGCTAGACCATAGCTTTTGTTAGCCATGGTACATTTCATGCTGCAGCTTGAAGAGCCGACTTACATTTGGTTAGATCTATGTGAGGCCTCACGATCACGTGATCAGGTTCAATAAGGTACAAACTGGAGTTGAGGTCTTGCATATCTTTGTTCAATCCGTATGTCTTATTTACCCTCATCCTCTCCTCGTTTGGATTTATCTCTTTCTCATCATCCCTTCAGCTTAGAATAAGGCAATCCCTCTCTCCATAAACCCTTTCCTCCCGTGTCAATCCAGTAAATTGACCGAAGACATGATATGGCAAATCTTTTTCTTTCAAATTTCATACGTAGCCGACCAAACGCAAGCTTAATGGTCTCCATTCTTATTGGATGCAGTGGGTTTGTCTGCATTAATATAAATTTGCCGAATCTAGGCAGTATTACTGCTCCTTTGTCAAATATCGTCATCACCTCCGGGACATTATCGCCCGAGGTGTGATGAACTCAGGTTATATGCATGACGTGTATGCTTAGAACTTCGAGGTTTCATTTTCCCCCCTCTTTTTTTGTGATTTCTGCAGGATCCACCTCGGAGCTCACAAAGGCATGATGTCTTGGGTTCAGTAAATGAATCACAGAATCAAGTCTCAAATACTGTAACTAGCAAATCAACCAAAAGCCAGATCTCGGATGAGCAAAAAGCTCGCATGGAACTCAACAGACTCAAGGCATTGGAGAAGGCTGCAGCTCGTTCCCGTTCGCAACAAGGAAGCTAACTTGGGCTATTCGTATTGTACATGTCCTCCATTGCTTCCTTTTGCTTCTAATGGGTGTGGTCGATCAGGAACTCCAGACATCTGAAAAGTGTGGTAGCAATAAAATTTTTCATTTCTCTTGCTTTTTGATTTCTCCCTTACAGGATGTGAAGTCAATTGCTTCTTCAAATGATCCAAACCTTTTGCTCGTTTTATTCCAAGCAAGAAGAATGGATTGTTCTACATGGTGATCTCATTGTTGCAATTTTGTCTTAGCTATGACTGTAATTGGAGGCGACTTGCTAATATCTGTAAATCAAAGGGCTTCTTAGGTAAACCGTGAGTGAAAAGCTCAGGTTTGCATTCTATGCACACTCCTTTAAGAAAACAAATAAATGTTTCTATTTTAATGTTTATTTTTAATTGTTGAATGCTTAAATTAAGATGGTAATTCCGGAACCAACGCAGCTAACACGAGTGGTAATAAATGTTAGTCTTACTCTCGTGATGCGTTTGACATGGTGGACGAAATTAAATTTTAGAAATAGCAATCGTATTTAGGCCACATGGGTCTTTTATTAGGTTTAGATAAAAGTGAAAAAAAAAATCAAGCTCTTTCGTAAACCTACTGAAAATCTTTAGTTAGTTAACACGTAAACTGAGATGACTAATGACACTTTCACAACAACAGTAACTTGCATCACAATCACAATAAACGGACTTAGCCTTTGGTAGGTAATCGGATGTTTCAACGTTTTGAATTAACGAAAAGATGATTGTGCTAATGTGTATTCAATATTTCACCACCATAAGGCTTGTGAGTTCGGGTTTTCATTTGAAATTAAGCCAGCCATTTCATGACTTTATTTGAGACGAGGCTCGCTTTGAAAACTCTTTTGAGAAGAACGGTACCTATTCGGATTGTTATTTGAAATTTTCTTGATTGTCATAACATGCCACCGACAAAACAATGCTTTGCCCAACCTTAGGCGACTACGAAAGATAGCTGTGACCATAAATGCTCAAAAAGTTTTTTTTAACGAGACCGATCAAAGACAAGCATTGCACTCCAATTGGACCCCAAATCTTAATCCACGTTAGCCCTTAATTAGACCGCTCAACCACCCTGCCGTGGATGAAGAAAGCACATATTACTTGCTGCATTATTTCCCACGACACCCATGTTTTGTAATCTAATCTAACCGATTGAGTATGTACCAATTGCTTGATGAACCAAAAAGGGTTCATGTGGACTGGTACTCTAAGCATGTCTAATAGAGAAAATTTCCAATTTCCAAATGAAATGTCATGAATTTTTTTTGGAAATTGGGGAGTGTTGTTAGTTGACTGACTAATACATTTCCCCAAAAAACAATCTCATATAAAATTGAAGAAAAGGTGAAAGGGGGTTTGAATTTGATGAGGTTCCACTCAAAGATACTTTTCAGAAGATTTGGTATCATATAATTGGCCTTGAGGATTTCTGACATTCCACCTAAATACCGTCTGTATCTTTCTGGACGGGCCCGAGCGGGTCTACACTTCCCAACATCTTGACCTAAATTCACCTATTTTCTATAATTTGTTTGATCTGGGTGTGTTGCGAAGTCTCATCAACCACTCAAAAAGAGATTAAAAATAATAATAATAATAATAAGAAAACCATTGAAGATTATTCCCAAAGTCTAGGTTTATACAGGAAAGTCATACTTGCTTTCTGATGACATCGCTCACGCCATTAGAAATTTGCAAACAGATATTTCCCTTTAAGTGTGCGACTTTGTTTACTGTCCTTGTTAACTTGGTTTGTTTAGATTAAGTATAAAAGATGAAATGATGAGAAGTACAGATTGTGTAGTTGACTTGTGTATACTTTGTTTTGGTCTCTAACTAGACAAATTATTTGATTTTTTCCTACGGCATTATTGCATTTCCCTTGTACGCCAGATTAATGCATGGGACAATTCTATATGTATTAAAAGGAAGATGTTCATTTCAGTGCTAAAACTTTTCGAGTTATCACTTTAGCGCTATATCGAAAAACGATTACTCAAGTGTTGTCGGCGACATATTCTAGCAAAGAATCCTAAATGGCTTCTTTAATGGATTTTTAAGTTTCAAGTGACTTTTTTAAATAAAAAAATCAAGTCCAGAGTGGAAAATGTACGAAATGACGTGGCAATTGGGAGTCCAAAACGACATTTGAAGAAATTGTTACTTTCCCTCTTCCCAAGATTTTCTCTTGTTTCTTTTCTCTGATCCTTTTCAACCTCTTGTTTCTTTCACCATAGCCATGGCAAAAACTAGTACACCCTCGAGCTCCAACAAAGGGGTGTGGCCACTCCAATGAATGGCTTCCTGAGAAAGAGACAGAGCTCCACAGTCACCACCACATCTGTTGAATAAAGAAACTGATTCTCTCTCTCTCTTCCCAAAATTTTCTTACATTTCTTTTCTCTGTTCTTCTTCGACCTCTCATTTTCTTTGCCCAAACCATGGCTAAAGCTAGAACACCCGTAAGCTTCTATACAGATTTGGCCATCCACGAACGAACGGCTTCTCGAGAAAGAGACGAGCTCTATAGTCATTAGCGTCGAAAGAAGCGATGGGCATTTCCATTCAATCTTTGTAGGCTCATTACGACGATTCAGTGAGTCCCCAAGTAATGTCGATTCTTTGGATTCTGAATCCCTGCCTCAACAACTTTTGAGAGTAGGCAAACATGGTAGAAAAAGACCGATTCAAACCATCCAAAACAGTATGCACGACTTTAATTTTGCCCCAATATTCCAAATAGGATTCGGGTTTGAAGAACAATTGGGATATAGCCCCAATTCATTAATTTGGGGAAAACAAATGGTGGAGACGACAGCATTTGGCACTATATTTGCTGACTTCACTTTGCCGACGAGCCCCATCGTTGGGAAAGTATTGAAATATAACCATGTCATATAATCAGGCAGCCTAAATCGGTCATGGCACTAAAGTGATCGACTGAAGCATTTGTTTAGAAAATTTTGGCACTAAAATGAGTACCATATAAAAATTGTGACACTTCTAGTATCATTTTCTCAATATTAATGTGATCGGATGATTAATAGTAATGAGATGAAATGGTCAAGATGAGTACAAGATGATGTTTATTGGAGGACTTCTAATATCTGTATAAGTTCTTATTTTCCAAATGAACTCAAATCAATAAAACTACAAAAAAAAATCAAATAGTAAAGGGATAATGTGGGTGGTCTAGAATTTCTTCAATGGAAAACTTTCCCTCGATCCACACTTTGCTTTATTTTTCTATTCTCACCCTTGATGCGCAATTACTCTTTTATTTAACCTTATGGTAGCATTTAAAAAATATGTACCTTGAGAACAAATTTTCATTAAGTGTGCATGATCAGTCATTTATAAAACGAATTTGCAATGTCGACATGGTGATTGCAACTAATATTTAAGATTAAATAAAAATTACCAATCTCAACATTCCTGAAACAAAAGTGCATTATGAGTCGCGCAAGTAGAATGCATTATTTTCACTTATGGTCATTTTTTTTTCCATATCTCCTAATAATGTTCCGTAGTCCTGTTACTTCGAGCTCGTCATGTATTTTGCGAGTCATCTTTTCTACTTCCGAAATAAATCACGATACAAAAGGTATGTATTGACGAATAAACTATAACTGGCCCCTTGCATTTGATTCTAGTATCTAATGTTTGAGGAAAAGAGAATTGATTTTCTAGATGCATTAGAAAATCAATGAAGCAATTTTCATTCTTTTCATATTGCTTGGAAGTACAAAATTTTAGAGACGAAACTTCCAATTTGATACGATGTTCCTTTTGTAAATATTTTTCTTCAGGAGAAAATAAAAAGAAATGAAGGAAACGATTGTTTTCTAATCATTGGAGTTGAAGTTGGAAGGGCCCCCAGCATTGACATTGATCACAAGCCAAGGGTGCAAGCTACGTAATGAATCGCATACACAAAAAGAAGATGGGATACCCCAAGCCATCATCACAACGAAAAAAGCTTCTCAAAACGGTGTCGTAACTTTCGTACGACGGTGTTCAGTAAATATCAATTGCTGAAATACCTCACAACGGACAACAAAAAGTCTTTAGGTGTTGTGTTTTTTTTTTTTTATGTGTATTGCCAAACATACAAATTATGAAAGAGGGAATTACCTATTTCTACGCATGGCAACCATTGACGTGATGCGATGGTGACTCTTAGATTTGAGGCTTCTATGAAAGAAGACTAAAATCACAATTTCAAAGGTGTACAAAATCAAGGGGGGAAGAAAGGGACCGGGCGATGTGGCGGTCGTCCTCTAGCGCACTGGCTAGCCATATCGTCGCCCTTTGTCCGAGGTGGCGGTGGAGGCCCCATCGACAGCGAGTAGAGAGGCTTATAGAGATGAAGAGATGAGAGAGCCTGTTTTAGTTGAGTGCTGGACTGTCAAGTGACGTACGTCCAAAAATTCATTGGGTGTCAATGATACACGAGTACAGGGGGGGTAGCGACACACCCTTTCACCCAGCAAATCACAACACGTCACCTCGAAAGATCGCGCGGGGTGCGAGTCGCTGAGATGTGCAAAGCTAGGATGGAGACGTCAGGCGCCGCGCACACGTTTCCGATCCTAGGTTACTCGCGTTCTAAGCCCCGCGTGTTCAAATAAGTCTCGCGCCGTCTTAAACAACCTCGAGACATTTGAAAGCCGTGCACATGCGTTTGTACAGGACAGAAATGAGATCTAAGGCACCAGATTTTTCCGCCCCGAGCAAAATTAAGAAGGAAGAGGAAGGAAGAAGAAGAAAAGAAGGAAGAATACAGTGCAAGATTTTGTTGGTGAGAAGAGGAAAAGATTCAAAACAACCGGCGGTATCTTGAAAACATGTCTGAACTGAACTTAAAAGTCTTTCGATGCATATGCATGAGGCAAAGTAAATGCTGCTCTGTTCCCACCAGGCCCACCTCGGGCAAGTACAGCTGGCATCGGTCGCTGGGATGATGGCCATCGGCAGAGGAAGCGTGACTTCCACCTCACCTTTCCGCCACGTTCGTTAATAATACAATCAAATATCACGGCAACACGTCATGACAAGAGGTGGAAAATCGACAAAAAACGAAGAAGAAGAAGATGGAGCGCGCGAAAATTGAGTCGGGAAAAGCTAGAAGTCTTTAAAGGGAATCTAAAGCGCGAGACCGGAGATTAAAAGAGATAATCAGCGTGCGATGATAGAATTTGAAAGGAAATCAAAGTGTAAGATTGACCCTAAAGTGGTACGACGTTACCATTTCATTGAGCATGTGCTCCTTCTTCCATTGATTCTTCTGTTTATAGATCCCGAGCTCCCATGGAGGTCTACCCTCCATGGGGTCAAACCCATGTAACGATCCGATCCAATGAGGGCGGGGAGTGATCGTCAAGGCTAGGGTGTTCGGACATTGAGCGGCTGCTTGGCAGGTTTCTAAAACGGCAAAAAGGAGCAGAAATGAACCGAATTGCGCACCAAACATGATGAGAGCGTGCTTGGGATAACTCGCGGAGGCCCTTTTTGATGTAACGGTAATGCTTTAGTTTTGGAACTCCAAAGTTAAGCAAACTCGGGTGGGAGCGTTATCGAGATGGATGACCTCTTAGAAAAATGCCCACCTGTACGCCACATGATAGCTCTGGAAGGTTCGATATACGACGGACCAAAGGCTCACAAAGCGAACGATATCTCAAGTGAATTAAATCCAGGGCGTTACAATTCACGTTTTCTCAAATCGCTTGCGCTTTCTCTAGTAATAATAACCATCTCACTTTACGAGCACTCCTTATTGATTGTCCCGCTCTTGCTTAGAACATTCAAATGCCACTAACCGTTCCCGCCCTTTTGGCTAGGGCTAGCGCGAACTCTTTCGTGCGGACTTTATTAGTACGAACTAGGCTTCTCACATGCTAGGGTGAGAGTCCCACTCATCATCTTACTTAGGTCAAGCTACTTTTCTAATAGCGCCAACACGGGCCCTAGTATTACCACTCACATTAATCTTGGAACTATCATGTGATTCTTCCTAATTCAGGTAATCTACTTTACTCTCTCTCTCTATATTCATTTGCTAATGAAAAATGAACTATTATATAGTTATAGAAATGTACGGCAACAAAAAATCCAACATGACAGTAGAAAGTTGATGTTTGACAATGATGTTTGACAATGACGAGTTTCATTTAACTAAATTAAATGCCCTAAAGTGCTATCCATGTGTGCAGGTATCACTTGATCCTCGAAAGGTTGACGGGAATATCGCCCAATCAATTATGACTTTACTGTGTATATACGTCACTTCCGTCTAAAGCTTTTCAAAATTGCTAACTTTGTACAAATTTTTGCGCGAAATTTCAATATAGTCATTCAGATCAATTTTCGCCGAAAATCGTTAACGTGGCGGTGCATTATGTAGGATGACCAGCGATAACTAGACTAATAAATTGACAAAATTAAAAAGTTTAGGACTATATTGACGTGCACACGATTGATTTAGGACTAATGTCTCGAAGGTTAGCACACCTTTAGACCAAAATGGTGAATCTTCTATCAAGAAGGTAAGCTTATCTCTGATTATCAATTCTAAAAGTTCAGGTACAACTCTACGCTCACATTATTCACTTCAAGTTCCTCGGTTAATTGTGATCTTCGTTTCTCCAACCGGTTTCAACGATCAAAGGGCCAATCTAGGTGAAAAAAACTTAAATGCCCCAAAGTGCTATCAATGTGCGCAAGTCGGATTCGAGTCGAAAGATTCAGATACCAACGATTGAACCAATTTGTGTATCAATAGTCTCATTTCAAAAAATAAGTAAACAAACATGTTAGATTTGAAAATTCAATGGAAGTTCAAGGCAATTTTCCTAGTACCCCCACTAACTATACACCCTAGTCTCATTCGATACGCATCTCCTCTCTTCCATACATATACACGTGTGTGCGTTGCTCGCGGGGATCAAACCCTGGACCTAATACTCTCTTGCCTCGCTCCCAAACCCTTTACCAGTAGCGCTGCATTGCTGTTGGCATGCTCGATAATTTGAAACATCGAATCTGTGTCTTGCGTCCAATCCGTAAATGCATATACTCATTAAATCGTAAGCAAAGGTCAATTACACGGGTCGCTTATGGAATCGAACGGCCGGGGATGTATCCAGTCCACAGACCTGGATCCCGTCTAGACCTTTGCCACGAGTCGGACCCCGTATTGATCGCAGCAGTAACATGCCCCAGAGTGCAGGGAGCGCTTGAGGTATCAGAGAATTCAGAAACACACCCGCAGCTGCAATAAGAGACGTTCTTTTCAGTGTTTCATGTCCTCTCCCTGTCTCTCTCTCTGTCTCTCAGTCAATGTATGTTAAGTTTCGGGACCCAAAGAACCCCACAGCGATCTAGTCTTGACCCAACATTTTGTTGATCGACCCTGTATTTATGGTGTCTCAGCAAAGGAGGCCCTCAACCAACACCTCTCTCTCTCTCTCTCTCTCTCTCTGGGTCTCATTTCTAACAGATCTTTAATGGACTGATTGTCCCCGCTGAAGAGCCATTCAAGAAGGGCTTTTTCGTGGAGTAGCCAGCCTTCTCGCGCTTCCTTCCTCGCTCGTTGCAATGCTTGCGGTGGCAGAGCATGTGGGTCGTTTGATTTCAGCCACGGCTGCTCGATCCCTGTTTCTGAAAGTTTCAAGATCGATGATGGGGAGCGACTAAAGCGTTTGTTCAGCAGCCCAAGAGTTCCGTTTCAGCTGGGAATCAAAAAGAAAGAAGGTGAAAATCGGAGTGCTTCGAGTTAACTGGGACCAAAGATCGCATTTTTATATTGCTGTGGGGGGGGATTATCTAGTTTCAATAATGCCTGCAGGTTAGCGAATAAAGAAATCGCGGAGGAGAGAAAACAAAAGGGTTCTGAGATCATCGGCTCAGCTCACGTGAAAGTCTCTCTGTCTCTGTTTTTGTGCGCCCTCCGCCCCCGTAGTAATCCGTGAGTTCATGCTCCTCAATTAAAGAAAAAGTTTGGGAGAAACGATGCCACACACACGACCCTCCCTCCATCTCTCTCTCTCTCTCACTCACCCCCTCTGTCTGTCTTCATTTGAATGGAATGTGCGAGGAGAGAGAGCTCACAGTTCCATTCCCACCATTGGAGCTCTCTCTCGCCCCTTAAATTCTCTCTCTGCGACTGCAACTTCAAGGGTTTAATATATTTTCTTCTCCCCATTTCCCCATCTGCCACTGCGAGAGTGAGCGAGTGGTGGGCAAGGAGCAGCAGGAGCAGAGCAGCCAGTGTGGCTACAGTGTGAGTGGATGCACTTTCTTTATTGCCCCTCCCCCCATCATCGGCTCCTTACCTTTTCACGCCTTGTCGTTTAGCAGGCCAGTCCAAGGAGAGAAGAAGAAAGCACGAACTTAAGCTTCTCTGAAAATGACCCAGATTGGCGGGTCTTCTCTCCCCTCTCATCATGATGAAGGCTCTCTTCACATTTCGACAAACATTTGGTCTTCTCCTTCCGCTTCTTCTTCTTCTTCTTCTTCACAGTGATGAATCTGAAAAGCCCAATCTTTCCTCGCTCTCTCTCTTCTTCAAGATCGATCCCCACTGATTCAACTGTAGCTCATTGAAAAAGGCTCGCAAAAATGGGGTCTTTCGTTTCGGGGTACTGCTCTCTCCTCTTCTTGCTCTCGTTCCTCGTTCCCACCGCCAGATCAGGCGACGCCGAGGCTCTGCTCGCTCTCAAGTCCGCCGTCGACCCTCTCGACTCGCTGCCCTGGCGAGATGGGAACGTGGACGCCGTCTGCTCTTGGCCAGGGGTTAGAGACTGCATGGACGGCCGCGTCACCAAGCTCGTCCTCGAGTCCTTGAACTTGACCGGTGCGTTGGACGGGAAGACCCTGAACCGGCTCGACCAGCTCCGCGTCCTCAGCCTCAAGGACAACTCCATCTCCGGCGATGTCCCCGACCTCTCCGGCCTCGTCAACCTCAAGTCCCTCTACCTCAACGGCAACGCCCTCTCCGGCGGCTTCCCCTCCTCTCTCACCGGCCTCCACCGCCTCAAGGTCCTCGTCCTCGCCGGGAACCGCATCTCCGGCGAGATACCCGTGTCCGTCCTCAACCTGAGGAGGCTGTACGTTTTCTACTTGCAGGACAACGGGTTCACCGGAAGGATCCCCCCGCTGAACCAGACCAGCCTCCGGTTTCTCAACGTCTCGAACAACCGGCTCTCCGGCGAGATCCCGGCGACCCCCGCGCTGTCGAGGTTCAATGCCTCGTCCTTCTCGGGCAATGTCGATCTCTGCGGGTCACCGCTCGGCGACCCCTGCAACGGCACCGTGTCGGGAGGCCCGTCTCTGAGCCCCGCGTACCCCGAGAACCCGGCCGCGAAGAAATCGCGTTCGAATCGCTCACGGCTCATCAAGATCGTCGCGGGAACGGTCGGCGGATTCGCATTGCTGTTGATCTGCCTGCTCCTGCTGTGCTTGATCTGCAGGAGCCGCGGACAGAGGAAGAAGGCTCCAGGTTAATTCACGTCTTTACTTGTCAAAAAAACTCAGATTACCGATTCGCGTTGATTCAAAATCATTGCCGAACGTTGTGAATTTTTAATCCTAATCGCGATCATGCCGAGCTGTATTGATTCGTGTCAATTGATAGGCGAGGCGAGAGCCAAGGGCGGCGGGGTCGAGACAGGGGAGGAGGCAGGGGAAGCGTCCGCCGGCGGCAACAATGGGGCGGGGAAGCCGCCACCACCGGCGGCGGCGGCGGCGGGGGGGTTCTCGTGGGAGGGGGAAGGGCTTGGGAGCCTGGTGTTCCTCGGGGCCGGGGACCAGCAGATGGGATACAGCCTGGAGGACCTGCTGAAGGCGTCGGCGGAGACCCTGGGGCGGGGCACGCTGGGGAGCACGTACAAGGCGGTGATGGAGTCGGGCTACATCGTGACGGTGAAGCGGCTCAAGGACGCGAGGTACCCGAGGATCGAGGAGTTCCGGCGGCGGATAGACGGCCTCGGCAGGCTGCGCCACCCGAACGTCGTCGCGCTCCGGGCCTACTTCCAGGCCAAGGAGGAGCGGCTGCTGGTCTACGACTACTTCCCCAACGGCAGCCTCTTCACCCTCATCCACGGTAAAACATCCCATGTTGCTGTCTTCTTGTCGGTCCATCGCATTTGATCTTTTTTGGCTCCCCCCATTATTATTATTATTATTATCGCTCCTAAATTTTTTAATTTTCTCGCCGCGATTTAATTGATTCGCCAATCTGAAAAGATAGAGGGGACCCGATTTTGTCTGCCGTCTTTATTTTGTTCTTATGTGCATTAATCTTGCGCGATGATCTTTAAATATTCTGATCTCGCATCATTCGTGGGGTCTATTAAATCCATGGACGCGAATGCGAATCGTCTCGCCCTTATTTATTTATTTATTTTTCGTAATAAATTTAGCTTATATAATAATCATGGCATTTTGATTAATATGGTAGAAAACTTATGTGGGGAAAGGAAAATAATGTAAATGGAGTTTAGGGTTTCTAGATTTTAATCATGCTGGTCATGAATTTTCGTGTTTTACGCATCTTTCAAAAAAAGCTGCTCGTCTGGAAAATGAAAAAAATAAAATTTTAAAAAAAACCTCACGTGAATCTTGGCGAATTAAATTTTTTTTTTTTTTATAAAAATAACCGACGCTATTTCAAAGTAACTGCTTCGAGACTGACTGATTGAATCGGCGGGACCCAGCTGGCCTCGCGTGGGACCCGCGGATCTAACGGCGGACAATCCTTATGGGGAACTCGTGTTTGCGTTCTAGGTGATAATTTCTCTCCCCCACAACGACATTTTGGAATTTAAAAAAAAATATTTTTTTGAGAGTTGAGTTTTTTAATTTTTTAAATTTACTCATCTAGTCATATGAAAAGACACTACTACTATAAGTTACCAGACCCAAAAGGCTCGTTCAATTATACTTTGAAAAATGAAATCTTGCTTTTCTCCTTTTCCCTGAATTTTTTTCTTTTTGTAAAAGATCATGCAAAAAAAAAAAACATTGTTACAGGTTTTTCGTGTCAATATTTATGCGTTGTGAGAATTTTTACGCGGTCCACTTGAAGTAAGTATCGAATTATGTACGTCGTAAAAGTGCCGAAAAGAATTTCGCCAAAAGACTCTTTAAATCGAAATCTTCTAGTATCGACCGGTCGGTCTCAAAAGTCTGTTAGTTAGGTGAACAAAGGACGAATTATTTATTTGACCCCCCCAAAAAAAAGAAAAACACAAGGACAAGTTATTTAATTTTTTTTATTAGAGTGTAAATCTAAATTATCTTAAAAGAGCTTCTTGCTTCGAAATTGCCAACCAGCTTTTGTACGGTCCCCCATGTTCAACTTGTCTTGTGAGGAGGCTGACTTCTCAACTGTTGGGTTTTTTTTTCACCTCCGGTTTGATGCGACGGCAAAGCGAAAGCTTTGTCTGGTTGATTGTCGCAGGAAAAGTCAAAGGTAGATTTGTGTCCTTGTTTCAAGAACTCACATTGTCACATCTTATTGAGCGTGCCACTGTTTTTTGAGTTGGAAAAGTTTAACCATCTTGGATCTTTGAGCAATGAGCATAACGATCCAGAGCAGCTAGGGCAAACTACAGGTTGTGGAATGTTTCTTTAGAGGATGGTTACTGGGGTAATTGCGCTTGCTAATCTCACGACGCAAACCTTGTCTTCTTGCGTCGACCCGTCACCTCCGTGTCTTGGTATGTTTTTTGAATTGCGAGAACCGGTGTGGCGAAAATAAGGAAAAGCGAGAAAAAGGGTCTTTTTAACAGCATGAGTTTATGTCTAAATCCACCATGACAATGCTATCATCGGCGAGCATTTGGTTAATGTTTTCAGTGGCCTTCTGAGTTCGTTTGTCAGTTACATTGCATGCTCTCACTCACGTTGACATGTGCATGCTGCATCACTCTGCACTATGCTTATCAGTCTCTGCTCTGGTGGTTCTTGATCGCATCTCTTTGCTTTTGCTTTTTTTTTTAATTGTCAGAAGACCTGTGAATGTTTTGCTGTCTCTTACTGGTAACCTCTCGTCTTGCTCTTGGGTGCTACTGATTTGGATTTCTCATAGCGTTGTTATCTCACTTGTCACCACCAGTTTTGTCTTTTGCACATTTAACTAGAACTTTAGCTATATTGCGGACAATATATCAGAGGGAAATTGCTGAGCGCAGTGCAGATTGTTGCTGAATCATATTGTGTGGATTCACTGATCGCCTGCTAATGCGAATTTGTAGAACAGATTATTGATGAAGCATATTTGTGCGCTGAATTTGCTTGAAATTTCATTTCTCTCTGCAGGATCAAGGACTTCAGGTGGTGGTAAGCCTCTTCACTGGACCTCGTGCCTCAAAATAGCCGAGGACTTGGCGACCGGACTGCTCTACATCCACCAAAGCCACGGACTAGCACACGGGAACTTGAAATCCTCCAACGTGCTGCTTGGCCCTGACTTCGAGTCCTGCCTCACGGATTATGGCCTCTTGTCATTCCGGGACCCAGACTCGCTCGAAGAACCGAGCGCCACTTCCCTCTTCTACAGGGCCCCCGAGTGCCGGGACCCTCGAAGGCCCATCACCCAGCCGGCGGATGTATACAGCTTTGGCGTCCTCCTCCTGGAGCTCCTCACGGGGAAAACCCCGTTTCAGGACCTCGTTCAGGAGCACGGATCGGATATCCCGAGGTGGGTCCGCTCAGTCCGTGAGGAGGAAACGGAGTCCGGGGACGAACCGGCCTCTAGTAATGAGGCCTCTGAAGAAAAACTTCAGGCTCTTTTGAACATATCGATGGCCTGCGTCTCCATCGTCCCCGAGAATCGGCCTGCCATGAGAGAGGTCCTAAAGATGGTTAGAGATGCGAGAGCCGAGGCTCAAGTTTCGTCCAACAGTAGCGATCACTCACCGGGACGATGGTCAGACACAGTGCAGAGCTTGCCCAGGGAAGAACATTTGAGCATATGAGGGCTTAGGCTCCGATGTTCTTTTTTCCACCCATTAATTTGATTTGATTTTTTTTTTCGCGGTACGGGCGGTGCAAGTCTATTGATGTAAAGATACTAAATTCTCACCATTGTTTCCCGTGTTCTTTTTGTTTTCCGATCAATTCACAACGACTGCATTTAGGTCCGGAGAACTTGATTGCATCGAACAACTTGGAATGAAACTTTTGAGTTAATGGCTCTAATGAAATTTAAAATTTTCAAAACAGTTTGAGCAAGTTCAGAAGCTCTTGTGCATTGCGCTCTTCTTGCAATGACTCCAGCGAAGGCGCAGCCGATACCTGTTTAAGATCAGCTCTACCCTTTCTGTGCCCATCTTCCTTTTGCAGTCGATTCTACTGTCCCGTTCATTGCGTCGAACTTTTTACCTGTCCGTTCATCGGTTTTTCGCTGTTGCATTTATGACAGTTTTTGGTCATAGACTTTAGTCAGCTGAATCTCTCGACTTTTTCCTGTCATCAATCATTCTCGCTGCTTTTCACTATTCTCACATGAAGTTGGTTTCTGCTGCCGTGTTGGACTTCGCCTTCGCCTGTTGAAGTTCCCATAATCTCATCGAAGCGTATTTCTGTTCAAGAAAGTATGTGGGCAAATGGAAACGATAAAACTGGGGTACCTAGACAAATGAAAACCTCGAAAGTACTAGGCAACCAAAGAAACTAATCTGGAAGACAAATTATAAGTGACAAAAACTTCAGTTCTCACTGCACTTGGTAACTCCAGACATATAAGTTTTCTATTTTGGGTTACTGTCCCATATCCGTCCATATGGGGAGATTTTATGGGCTCCATCCCCACTCCCCATGGGGCAATCAGGCGTCACCGTCTCGTTTGCATTGTCCCATATTTATTTTAACTTTAACTTTAATTAAAAAATTTAATTAAATTTAGTATTCTACAATTATTCTAATCCTTGAAAAAGTAACAAAAAGCGAATGTCAGCTGATAATCAAAACAGTGACAAAGACTTTCTTTTAAAAATATATATACATGGTAGAAAATACCAAACTTAACCCCATTGCATATTGGTTACTTACCAGCACTTATAAGAAAAGTGCCAACATTATTAAACCCTTTCAAGTTGCTAACTATTCCAAAACTTATTAGCATTTATTGTCACATGCTACCATATATAAGTAATAATCGATAAAATAATCGTAGGTAATTGATTCAAACAAAGTTAGCAAATTCATATAAAAGTAGGTAATTTAAGCTCCGCAAATAAACATGGGGAAATTATAAGAATGGTCGGTAATTTTGAAAAAGAGTTGATAATTGCTTACAGGAGTCGGTAATTTTAACCCATTGATAAGCTTCCAACCAAATGTTGGTGAGTTATGAGACAGTTTGTACTTTTAAAACAATCAAGTTTGAGTCGGTAGCTTATAACTCAGTAATCTGTGCAAATATATTTTGGTAAATTCAGTTGGCCATGTGAAAACTATCAAATAAATATTTGTAACTGACTCAAATAGGAGTTAATATGAGAGTTAATAACTTAGGCGCTGCAAATAAAAGTTGCTCAAATATTGGAATGGTTAGGCATTTTCAAAAAGTGTTGTACTTTCGTATAAAAATTGGTTACTTTAAGGGTTAATACCACGAAAAATCCAAAACTGTACATCTGTGACAATTTTACCCCGAACTAATTTTTTGACCACCAAAAATCCCAAATTAGTACACCCGTGATAAATTTACCTAAAACTATTTTTTTGACCATAAAAAATCCCACACTGGTACATCTGTGACAATTTTATCCTGAATTAATTTTTTTACCATGAAAAATCCCAAATTGGTACACCTGTGACAATTTTACCCAAAACTAATTTTTTGACCGCTAAAAACCCCAAATTGGTACATTTATGACAAATTTACTCTCCGTTAAATTGGATTAATATCACGAAAAATCACAAATTAGTAAACTTGTTACAACAGAGGAGTAAAGCCCCAAACTGGTACACCCATCAATTACCACATGTCATCAAACTTAGCAATTTGTCACATGTATACCAGTTTGGGATTTTTTATGATAAAAAAAATTAGTTCGGGGTAAAATTGTCACATGTGTACCAATTTTGGGTTTTTTGTGGTAAAAAAATTAGTTCAGGGTAAAATTGTCACAGATGTATCAGTTTGGGGCTTTTTGTAGTCAAAAAAATAGTTTGGGGTAAAATTATTATAGGTGTACCAGTTTGGGTTTTTTCGTGGTATTATCCCTTACTTTAACTTGTTAGCAAGTTACACAAATAATAAGCATAAATTATTGGAATGGTTGGTATTTTTTTTTTTGAAGCAATCGAATAACAATTGGTTCGTTTTTACCAAAAAAAAGAAAAATTGGTAACCGGAGGCAAGTAAGAGTTGGTGGCTTTAATATGTTAGTAAGTTATGCAATTAAAAGTTGGTTAACTGTTGAAACAATTGATATTGAACTCATCAAATAAATGTTGATGATTGTCTCAAGTAAGAGTTGATATTTTCATATAGGAATTGGTAAGTTAAGTTCAACAATTAATTAAATGATGGTAAACTATTGGAATAATTGATAATTTTGAAAAGAGTTGATAATTTCTTAAAAGTCGGTGAATTCATCCCATTGATGAGCTCATTTGTCAACTTCCCAGCTCTCATTCAATTCGGTTACCATGTACTTTATTATTTCGAAACTAACAATAGTTCCCATTTTACCAAGAACTATTTGCACAACTTACCAAGTGATAAAGCTACTAGTTATTGCCCGGAGCATAGACGTGTGCGTCTTCGGTAATTGCCCGATATATATGGGACGAGAGACTATTGCATTATGGGATTAGCTGGGTTCACAAAAATCGGCCGACAATTTTTAGATATCAAGAAAAGAAATAACAGGCTACTAGCTCTTATACGAATTTATCAACTTTTATACGAGTCAACTTACTGACAGTTTATTTAATTGTTTCAAAATGCCAACCGTTCATGTAATTTTACCGCTGGTAAGCTTGGTCGATAATTGACTATAAATTATTGCAAAAATTAGCAGTTTTGAAACAATCTAAAAATTACAGTTGGTATGTGGGCTCAAAAAAGATTTGGTAATTTCATATAACATTTGGCGGCTTTAAGGTGTTTGTAAGCTGTGTGAACAAATGTTAGTAAGCTATTGGAATAGTTGGTGATTTCAAGACAATAAAAATATAGGTAACTGACTAAAATAAGGACCGATAATTTCGTATAAGTTGGTAACTTAACTCTCGCAGATAGACTTTGACTAACTATTGGAATTGTTGGTAATTTTGTAAAGAATTTGTATTTTGCCATAACAATTAGTAATTATAATGCATAGGCAAGCTTGGCAAATACATGTTAGTAAATTATCACAAGTGTTAATACTTTTCGAACAATCAAATAAATGCTAGTCACATAAAAGTGAATATATTCATATATTATAAAAGCTAGTAAATTTAACGCATTGGTATTGCTGAGTTATGAAAATAAGTGTTGGTTGATTGTTCGGATCATTAATAGGGGTGATCGGTTCTAGCTAGATCCGATTCCCGGGGTTTAGTGGAACCGGTTGAGTTCCAAGGAGAGAATGCCTTGCTCTCCATCATCGATAAATTTTTTATTGTCCAATAATTAACTAGTGACGACGTACTGTTCTTATTGAGCATAAACAAAACTCAAGAGAATAGTTCCATGGGTCCATTCAGTTCAGAACGTCTTTGTAAGACATGATGGGGGAGATGATGCAAGCGAACGGAGTTTGATAGCTCTTTGTTTCACCTTGAAAGACGCTTTGTCTCCACTCCTGTGTATTCATATGCAAGTGTGGGATCTTCAAATCACGTGTCTTACCTCTTTGATTTATATGAAATCTTGAACGATGAGATCCCAATCAATGTGATTTCGACCAGTTTTGGGTCGCCCACCTTGAATGTCGACCTCAGTCTCTGTAGTCTCTCCCCCTTTTCTGGGGTCACTTCTTTTGTCATTTGTTAGCAAGAGCAAGTTGGCTTCGTTTGGCTGGATTTGGAGCATCTAGAGGACTGATCACTTGCAAGTCTAGTCAAAGTGTCAATTGAGATGTGCACGAAATATTTAAAAAAAAAAAAAATGGGGTCCAGGCGGTTCGGTTCCCCCCTTGGAATTGGAATCGGACTGTCTGGACACCGATTCCACTTTTAGGAATTGGGAATCGGCCCGGTTCGGTCTGGGTGATTTCCGGTTCGGTCGGTCCATCTTGCTCGCCCATAATTATTAATAAGAGTTGGTAGTTTTGTATCAGAGTTCGTTACTTGAACACATTAGTAATCTCTAGATATACAAAAGGGTAAATGATTGGAATAATTTTCAAAACAACATATAGAAGTTGATAATTGACTTAAATAAGAGTTCGTATAACTAAGATTAGTCGGTAACTCAATCGGTGATAAGTTGGTAAAAGACTCAAATTTCAATTGGTAGTTTTGTATAAAAGTCAATAATTTTAACATATTCGTAAGGTTCCGTAAATAAATGTTGGTAAACTATGATTTGGTGCTTTCCAAATAATCTAAGAAAGTAGGTAAATGACTCAAATAATATTTACTAAGCGAAAATCAGGTGATAACTTAAGGAGAAAAATATTGGTGAATCACTTAAATTATTGGTAACTTTTGAAGTACAGATAAAAGTTCTACTTTTTAAAACATGTCATTAACTTCCTAAAGAGTTCGTTTAAGTTCATATGTCTGGTTTTTTTTCTGGGCAATTTCATATTTGTGCAATCTTTGAACACTTGAAACTCATGAGACTTTCCACATGGCAAATTGCATCCAAACAGTACATTGATCTTTACACAATTACTATTTTCAAGATGAGGAATTGAGCAATTGACAGTGATGAGATCTTGTGAACGATCGACTCCTCAAGAAGCAGTCTTGTGAATGATCTCGATAAGATTGCAAAACATTAGCAATTTATTTAGGGAATAATCTCACGGACCAATCCTAAAACATTATTATAAATGGCAAGTTGGCATTATTATTTGAGGGCAGACAATCATGGGAGAGCAAGATCAAGAGCCAGTATACTGCATGTACAGATTAGTGCAACAAAAGATGATATAAGACGAAATCATCTGCTAAGTGGCTCAGAAAAGTTCACATTTTTAAGCAACAGAAGCTGCTAATCACGAGGCTAAACTTGTGCTGGCATTACTTGTCACATGGACATCGAATATTGATGACGCACACAGACCCTTAAATAACTTCTCGGCCAATAGTTTTTGTAGCTATGCAGACTAGCAAATTATATCAAATGCACGTGAAAAGTGCTTTTTTTTTAATATATAGTTTGGTTTAATTACATGATTTGATTTCTTTTGGGATGGTCCACAATTGAGGACCAAGTTTGCTCTCCGAAAATCACAATTCCTCGAGTAATTAATTAATTTACAGATAGATCTTCGGATCGACATGTTTCCCATCTCAAACCACACTGGAATGGAACTTTTACAAAATCAAAGCCACAAAGATATCTGCAAAGTTGAAGGTCAATAAGTAAAAAGTTGAAAAAAAAGACAAGGCCCTTGATCTCAACAGAGTCTGGGCAAACTCCTACTGCTGCTTGGGTGCCTCACTATCTTGGACATATGACCCTTCATTTGCTTGCACACCTTCTCCAACTCATTCACCCTCCACTGCATCCTCTGCAGATTCATTTTCATGTCATGGTTCTCTTCTTCGATGCTGTCGGTGTCGATCCCGCCGTAGACCACTATCTGGCCGTCGTTCATCGCGGGGCTCTCTTTTGTGACTTCTCGTGGGAGGAAGTCTTCGGCAGGCTGCACATAGGATTGCTGTGACATGAGTGCTTGTACAGCGATTCTTGGCGGGACTTTGGGGTTCTTCGCCAGGTCCTTGCAGGCCTCGAGGCTTAGTTTCTTGTAGTTCAGGCACCTGCACAGCCTCGACCGCTCCTCGAAGGAAAGGCTCGGGTGCGACTGCAAAATATCCGCCAAAAGATTAGGGAAGTTGTTCCAAATGATTGATCTGTTTTGTAGATTAACTCTGCATATCACGTCATTGCCAAAACGGGTTTAGCTGATTGATTCTCCCGAATCGGCCTACTGGGTGACTCCAATGCTTCAAACATCTAACTGCCAAACATGAGCATTTCATGGAAATATTGAATGCAGCATAAGCATTTAATGGGACATTCCACCAAGTGAATGATTCCCTACTTTTCAGGGCAAGTCGGCCCTACAAGTTCTGTATTTTCTAATTAATGATCATACTATAGCATGATGAGCCAGGGAGTACACATTTCTCATGAAAGGTGGGCGCGAATTGAGATCTCAAGTTGAAACACTTTCCCGTAATAGAATGCAGGTTGTCCTCTCAAGTAGAGGACAATTTCACGAAATCGTTAACTAGCAGCAGCGAGTCAAGCGTCCATGAATGAAACTGAGCATCAGGCATGAGAGAGAGAGAGAGAGAGAGAGAGAGAGAGAGAGAGAGAGAGAGAGAGGAACTAATAGAAGCAGATTTGTTTTGATATAGGCCAAATCACAGATAAGACATGATGCAGTTATTTTAGTGACCGAAAAACTGTCCTACCCTTTTGAATCACGCTCAACAAACAGCATACATGAAGTTCATATGAAAGTGTTTTGGTCCCTACATTACAGATGCTGCTCTGAATTAAAGTTGTCACAAGATGTCAGCTGTAGAACCAAGAAAAAAGATGCCAATTATGCTGTAGCAGTGGAACTCCCCAAAATTTTTATTTTCGCAGAGTATAATATGATAGTGTAACACCTTCTCAACAAGTTGGTACTTCCGAGAGAATCAGAAGTACCAAAAAAATGCAGATATTCCTCACTGAAGCGTTACATGCCTGGATTAGAAATACTGAACCGAAAAAGAAGGAAACTTTAACCTTACCAAAGAAAAAAAAAAAGAAGGAAACTTTAGGTGCTAGGAACCATCACTGGATGATAAGACAATTATTGCAAAAGCATCTTTTGTCTTATTTACTATCTTTCTCATCATCTTTCATCTCACTAGCTTCCATGTCCAACCCATGTTTCTCAATTATTTTTGTCATCTGGAAAATATAAGGATAAGAAAAAGCAAAGAGAGACAAGGTAATGAGATAGTTCACCTCAAGGAATATATCAATGGCTCTGTAGACCCCATCATAGCAGTCTCTTGCAGAGTCTGGCAAGCTCTCTGCAACCCCAAGAAACTTAGAGATCTTGAGGTTTTGATCTGGGGCTATCTCGCCCAAGTACTTATCCACTAACCTGGCCACTTTCTTCATCTTCTGTGTGGACCACCCATCACCATTAACAAACACCCTAATCAGCCTCACCACCAAATTCACATCATAAACACCTCTGTCATGGCCAGAGACCAGGAGGTCATCCAGAGTTGCCTGATCGAGCATCCCGCCGATTAGTTTCTCCAGGCCGACTCTGCAATCTTTGCTGATTCCGAATCCCGACACGATTCTCAGCACCCTGAGTAGGCCCCGGCAAGAAAATGCAGTCTTCCCCACCAGGATGACCCCGTGAACCGCCGTGTCCGTGAGACCGATGTAGTCGGACTTTGTGCTCGCCGAAAACCCTGTCGCGTTGCCTTTCCTCTGAGACACTGTCTTGAGGTAATGGAGCAGGAATCTTGTGAGGGTCAGGCTGTTGTTTTCGCTCCCATGAGCCCCTAAGCTCTTTACTACCTTCTCGATTATCAGCGGAGACAGGACGGTCAAATCGTCGAACCACCATGCTTTGCTCGGTGAAAATGGGCTCTTAGAGTCAGGTGTCGTCTCTGCGGAAGAGAACCTGAACCTGGAAGCCATTTCAGGGGACGATGACGATGAAGACGAGGAATTAATTAGGTTAAGATCTGAATTCTGAGCGATTTTTGCCAGCAGTGCACAGATGAGCTTCGAGAGCAGGCCTACCGAGTCTGCATAGCCGAGGAATGTTTCGCAGCTCTTGAGGCTCGCAACCACATCATTCCAGGACCAATAAAACATGTCTTCCAGGAACTTCTCAGTCTGTTGCAGGAGATTAGAAGCTGTGACCTTTTCGGACATTCCCAGGAAGACAGCACAGCAGTGAAGGAGGCACACATTGGAGACCGTGATTTCAATCTTGCCGCCGCTGTAACAGAACCTCAAAACCAGCTCGAACCCATTGGAGCCGCCCGGGAAGTCGTCGATCTCGATTCCGGAATTCTTGATCTGGGTCCTCCTCTTCTCTTGCTTGATGATCTTCTTCAACCTCCCCGAGTATGCTGATATGATTTTCTGCAAAGAAATTGGAGGCGCCTGTTAAAATCCATCAAGAACTAGATAGCAAAGGCAGGGGAAAGGAAGAAGAAGGATTTCGGTTGAGCGATTCAGATTACCTCGTTCAGGAAGAATGTCTGTTGACCATTGACGTAAACTTGCAGGTCACAGTGCAGTGACATGTTTTGCCTAGCATCGAATGACCCCACAAGCCCTCAATACAGATAGCGAGAAAATGCTCAAGGCGGTATTATTTCACCGGCAGAAAAATGGGTGTATGTCTGCAATGAGAAAGAGAGAGAGAGAGAGAGAGAGATGCAAAGTTCAATGTGTTAAATACTAGAGTATTCTTGCTTAATTATACTGCTGGAAAATAACTGTTATGCTCGGGGATATAGAATAGATTGATGAATAGACTCTCTCTCTCTATCTCTCTCTGGTGCATATGTGGTGGGTGTGGTGGCGTGGCTCGGTCACAGGAGTCACAACTCAATTCATGCTGTGTGTTATTATATTGTCATTTGTTCTCTGGGTTTATAAACAATCCAAGCGGTGCTGTTCTTTAGCAGAACAAAAACGAAGACAGAATATTTTCTCTTCTTTGGATTGCGGATTACAAAAGGGAAAACAACCATGTCGGTACAACGAATGGAAAAGAAAAACAAGGAAAATATGAGCGGGGTTTTGTCACTCAGTAGAAGCCCCTCCATTTGAGTTGTTATTCCCTTGGCACATACGCAGTTTAGGTTCTCTCCATGCATTTGGATTTACATGCTCCACTTTCGGAACATGTGAAGGTGGACCCCGCGAGAGAGAGAGAGAGAGAGAGAGAGAGAGAGATGTTCTACTGATGCTAGGCCAAGCTTGGTAATTTAAATTGATGACAGAAGTGATGAGAGAAAGTTGAAATTTGAAGGACTCTGTGGCTTAAGTCATGATCGTTATGTGGAGTATTGGAAAGAGTTAAATCGAAAACTTTATCTTTCGAAATTCTTTCCAAAGGACAAAACTTTTGAAAGGGTGACAAGCAACCCCAGCAAGTATATCCAAGCCAATCTGACAAGTCACCCCTAGTTATAGGGAAAACGGAGATGTGCCTCAGAAGCTGCCAGTGCCAATCAATGGTTGAGGCAGTAGGGCTTGCTCTGGCACTCAATTATCAGAGTCTACTAGGCGGCCTTCGATGATCTTTTGCCAGTCAAAAAATGCACGTGACATCTGCAAATTGTGCTTTGAGTTGATGGCAATTGACCTTGTTTGAGATGAATGTGACCACGTGAATGGATGTAGTGTGAAGTACTTAATATATCTTAATTTGATCATTATATATTATTTTAAAAGTTAATATCACGAAAAATTTCAAATTGATATATTTGTGATAAATTTATCTAAAATTAATTTTTTGACTACAAAAAACTCTAGTATGACAAATTTATCTCAAACTAACTTTTTAACCACCAAAAACTCTAAATTGATATACTTGTGACAAATTTACCATCCGTTAAATTAGATTAATACCACGAAAAATCACAAAATAGTAAATCTATGACAAATAGAGGGGTAAAAACCTAAACTGGCACATCCGTTAACTGTCACGTGTCATCCAATTTCGCAATTTGACGGTAAAATTTAATGGAAACTAACGGAGGGTAAATTTATCACAAGTTTGGGATTTTTTGTGGTAAAAAAATTAGTTTAAAATAAATGTTATAGATGTATTGATTTGAAGTTTTTTGTGGTATTAACCATTCTTTTAAATTGTTGAGTGAATATAAGTCCAACCGGATATACTTATGGTCTATTGACTTGGACTCTCATTTGGTGACCCTCTTAGGTCAAGTTTTTCTGCACTTACCCAATAGCTAAGACCAAAGCCGATGATTAATCGGTGGTTTTGCTCTAAATATGTATTGACATTCAATGAAATCAAAAAAGGAATCTCGCATGTGTTCCTGATAAGTGGTATTGTTGATGGCCCCTCGGAGTGTACCGACATTTGGTGGAATATCTCAATGAAGGAATCTCATAATGAATCTTCCTAATCAAGGTGGCATATGGTGTGTTTCTAACAAGTGATATCAGAATCAATGGTTAAAAGGTGGCCTCCCTAATGTGTATTGGCTTGGTGTTATATCTTAAGATATGAATTTTCGGATGCAATTGAATTTCCCTAATCAATGTGGCATATGGTGTGTTCCTATATACTGGATTTGGCTAGGCCGAGGCAACTGAGGAGGTGTTAGAAGAGTATATCTAGTTCGCCCATCGACATTTGCCAAACTTGGCAGGACACGGTATGAATTTGAATTGAGATAAGGTTAGTGCAGAGGAATGCTGGGATTAAAGGGGAACGGAGCTAATGCGGAGGGAGCTCTGTTGAGGTGTATGTATGAGGTTTCTAGGCAATACTCACATATTAGGAATTTATGTGATGCGAAGCAATTAAAGTACCCCAATTCACCATAACTTTTTGGTTAAGTTTCGAGCTTAGGCTCTTTCTCTTGGTGATGTTTTCTACTGTGAGTCCCAACAAACCTAATTTCCAGCACGGTTCAATTTGGCTCCAAATATATCAACCATTTTTACTACCCCGAGCATGACATTTAGGAGCGAATTTTCACTCACATATTACCTGTGCAACCGCACTTACTCTCAACATGAGACTTCACGTGTCACAAACATCTTAAGCTATAATCGTGATATGGGCGGATAATTAGCATGTCCTAACTATGATTACTCGATGTGAGAGTCTTGGAAAATGTGAAGAAAATCCAACATAATAACCTTCAATTTGGATACCAGTTGTTGAGATATGGAACTGACATCTCAGTACCTCACGAGGGAATATCATAACATGAACTCAACAAAAGCACGAGCTCCCAATATAACTTGGATCAATTTTATTTATAAAAACGAATAATTTTTAACGAATTAAATATATTTCGATTTCTCGGCCTATCTAATTATATGATGTGAGGTTTTTTTTTTCACTCAGATTTTACAACTATACCATCCACCACCCCCTTAATCTTAAGATTCCATGTTTTTTTTACCATTTATAATGATCCAACCCAATGCACATGGACGAAACACCTCATTTAGAAGTACTCACATAGTTATCATTATAATGGCCGGCACTAACCGCCGTTTATCTAAGCCCAAAGAGAATTTTTAGTTTTCAGTTAGCTTTATTGTGCATCTTGGAGAGATTTTCTGGCTTTTGATGCATCGGTATGGCTGCGGTGATTGGCTAGTCAATCTCAAACCTTTGGGGTTTCAAGTAGACGAAGTGGTTATGACTCAAACCTAGTGGACGTGAGATCTTTATTATGATGTCAAAAGGGATAATTTGATTGGTCTTTCCCTTTTGCCCTTCTTTATGTTCAAAGGAAAAAGCGAGAGGTCTCTTCAACCCAGTAGAATAGCGCTTTATTTGCACGTGAGTCTCATACGACAATGCATTTGATGACTTTTAATTTTGATAGCTGATTAAGATGTACTATGATCGTTTCAGTCTCCTAATAGCTAGGTTGCCTAATTTGACAGGGTTGAATCAAGTCAGAATGAAATGGGATTTGAAGTAGAGTGAGAGCCTTGGATATGATCACCCCACTTTTAGATTTGATAGCCACAGGAAAAATGAGAAATGGCAATGGAATGGCAACACCTTTCTCATATTTGGTATCCCATGCACAGCAGACAGAATAGGATTTTGTGCTAATTCATCGAATATCAAATCAATTGCATCCTTACAATAATCCATTGACAGATCATTAATTATTTCATGTGATGCACAGGATTTGTCTTCCAAGGTTATAGAATTGATGTAGAACAGTTAGCCTGTGATTATCTTAAACAATGTGATCGCCGTAATCATCGGAAATCTCGGCAGTTTTTCTGATTTTGGGGAAAACAACCATTCAAGCAGTTTCCTATATTATCAGTTAGGCAGTTTCCTATATTACCAGTAAGGCAGTTTCCTATATTATCATTTAGGCAGTTTCTTTAATTATTCAGTTTCCATTAGTATTAGGAGTTTTATCTCTATATATAAGATGTCCGTTTTGTAATACTATAATAAACTGAAGCACAAGAAGATTGGTCCTTGCCGCATCCTGAAGAAGATCAACGACAATGCCTATATAGTTGAACTTCCGGGTGATCTCAATATTTCCCCTACATTTAATGTGGCAGACTTATTTGAGTATCATGCTTCTGATACACCCCTCTATCCTGATCATAACTCGAGGGCGAGTTTTTCCGAAGAGGGAGGGAATGATATAGAACAGTTAGCCTGTGATTATCTTGAATAATGTGATCGCCGTAATCATCGGAAATCTCGGCAGTTTTTCTGATTTTGGGGAAAACAACCATTCAAACAGTTTCCTATATTATCATTTAGGCAGTTTCCTATATTATCAATTAGGCAGTTTCCTATATTACCAGTAAGGCAGTTTCCTATATTATCATTTAGGCAGTTTCTTTAATTATTCGGTTTCCATTAGTATTAGGAGTTCTATCTCTATATATAAGATGTCCGTCTTGTAATCAAGAGCACAGTATTATTGAATAAAAATTTCGAGTTTTTTGGACTCTTGATTACAAGACGGACATCTTATATATAGAGATAGAACTCCTAATACTAATGGAAACCGAATAATTAAAGAAACTGCCTAAATGATAATATAGGAAACTGCCTTACTGGTAATATAGGAAACTGCCTAACTGATAATATAGGAAACTGCCTAAATGATAATATAGGAAACTGCTTGAATGGTTGTTTTCCCCAAAATCAGAAAAACTGCCGAGATTTCCGATGATTACGGCGATCACATTGTTCAAGATAATCACAGGCTAACTGTTCTACATCAAGAATGCGGCAGGAACGATATTCTTTCACGAGCTGAAATATGGATTTCTGCCCAAACAAGCCACTCCACCTTAAAAGATACCTTCCAAATAAAGAAAGGACAATGAGTGGGAAGCCTAGCTAATCTTGATTGCTTTCGTGAACCCTGATTAACCAGCCATTATCATAATTACCCATCGAACATGCTAACTACAATCCGGCAAAATGTTTTCTGGATTATCCCGCTAATTGGATGTCCTTTTCCATAGTTTAATTAGATGCAAAACCTTACTTATGTACGAGAACGAGTTACAAAGTGTTGGGCTAGTGTTATTGAAACGAGGGGCAGGAATCTTTCGATGCTCTCTAGCTGGTAGCAAGGAAAGCTGCCTTCTTGATGTGGTCGGTTTTGAATCCGAGATTGGCATTGCCGGGGTCTTCTTTGAGCTAATAGTAGTTACTCTATTATGATAGATTGTGGTTGTAATGGAATAGAAAGGAATAGAGAGTGGGGGATGAGCTTCTCCTTCTGGTGTCTTGGAAGTCTTTAAAAGAGAGAACACGGAAGAGAGAGGAAGATGGGAACTCGCAAATAAGAAGACTGAAGAGTTCATCGATGCAATTGGAAAGTGATTTCTACCCAACGGCCCGATTAAAGGACAATGACCCGAGACGATGATCTCGAAAACACCATGAAATGCAAGGTACAGAATCGAGCCGAGTCGAGTCGACTCGACCGGTGTTGAAGGATGATTTTGTGAAAG